TGTGTGTGTGTGTGTGTGTTGCTGTTGGAGGGACTGAGTTGCACAGCCCTCGGTGATTGTAAACCTGTGACCTCTGTTTGAGCTCAGATGAAGGGAGAAGCCAGTTATGACTATAAGTATGTCTTAAAAGTGTGTACACGCTAATGTTAACACCGATGATTCATTTATGACAGCAGTTGTGTAGCAAAAAATAACACGTTTAGGCTTTTAGTTGGTCTGGTACTTTGACATTGCATTATCGAAGTCAAATGTTCATGATAGTAGTTTTTTTTTTTTTAAATAAGCATTCACCAGTACAACATTTGTGTGCAGTATATTAGAATTTAGTACAATTTCTGCCAGTGGCATTAGTTTGGTTCTTTTTATGCTTGCTAGCTTTAAAACACTGATAATAATCACACGGCTTTAAAATAAATAACGTTATCTATAGCATTTATTGTTCTGTATAGTGATGTGCTATAAGAATTAGCTTTATGTTGCGTACGTCTTGAATTTAAACTGGTCACACTTATATATATATATAAAAAAAAAAAGAACATGGAAACAAAAAATACATTGTAATAAGTTACAGTTTTGACTGCTGCACGGATCCATGAAAAGTTTCAATTGCAGCAGATATATCATATACATTTTTTTTCGTCTTAAAAAAATGCACACTGATGTTCAGTACTGGGTAGACATGAGAAAAAAAAAAAAAAGAACATGGAAACAAAAAATACATTGTAATAAGTTACAGTTTTGACTGCTGCACGGATCCATGAAAAGTTTCAATTGCAGCAGATATATCATATACATTTTTTTTCGTCTTAAAAAAATGCACACTGATGTTCAGTACTGGGTAGACATGAGAATCTGTGACTGTAGAAATGCACAGAAAGCGCAGCAGATTTTCATGGAACTGGGATGCCGGTTATTCACAATTATACACATTTCCCACCCTTTGCATGTTTGTTTATTAAATATTTGGTTAATTTGATGATGCTTTCAGCTACTGATAAGAGTGTAGGACACTCAGCTCCATTTAACACGTTTGACTGCATTTAAATCCATTGCACAGGATTCGACTGATAAGCTGTTTTATTTAGGTCTGGCTAATAGTTTTTGAATTGTCAGTTCTTTAGATCAAAGTGACTTCCAAATGACCATTGGTAGGAAAAGCCTCCATAAGTAACTTAGGGTCAGGGTTCCCACAATCATGGAAAACCTGGAACTTTGAGGAAATGTTATAGTTGTGTTTTCCAGGCCTAGAAAAAGGAATTAATATAGTGAATATACATGTTTATAGTTTGCTCTATGCTATATTTCACTGGCTAAATATGGCTATATTTCAATGCATGGGTTTAAATTATGTTGAGTACTTGCTTACAAGCCATAAAGATATCTTATTCTTTTCAGGAACCTTCAGATTACTGAGTCCAAATGGTTTGTAAGTAAACTTCTAACAAATTACAGGAAAGCTAAAAGAAAATTCATGGAAATGTGTGGGTCAAAAAGTTTGGGAACCCTGTAAGGTTACGCAGCATGTTCAAGGGTGTGTGAACTCGGTAACCTCACTTTTTTACCTCACTTTCACCCCTTGGCAGCCATGGGAAAAGTTTAGCTAACCCTAAAGCAAAGATACTCTTAAGTCATTTAGAAATAACTTTTAGAAACATCTTTTTTTTTAAACTGATCTGATGTCAGATGAGCATCATCACCAAAGATATTAATAAGTAGTTCCACTTCCACTATTATTACAACTTCCTGTCATTGCCTGAATTAATCATATAACAGTTCTAGTATTTATATATGTTTCATAAATGTTTAATCAGGTTATTTTATGATCAGCATACATTTCCATCAAGAGTAAACATGTTGATATAATGATTTCTGCAAACTTGCTGGCTGGCAAACCGAAATGAAGACATTTTTTAACACTGCGGTCTGAAACACACCTCTTAACCGCATGCTGCTGTTTGTGGTTGTGGGCGTGTGCTTGCGACTCTTCAGGTGGTAATGAATGACATCATTCCCTTCTTTCTCAGGGCAGATTGCCAGCTACAAGAGGCGCATCAGATCCTAAATGAGATTTGCCCCATTAACGATAATAGCTAGTCTGACAGAGCAGCTTTGGCAGATTGCGCAAGTTTATTAAATAAGTTATAATAATATACACTAATTGTACTTGCCTTGTGGACAACTTTACATGGAGAATCGTTTAGAGCTGCCATAATATCATGGTATATTCCTTAATGCATTGTTGTTGTTGTATTGATTGAATCTCTTGTACTGCAAATAACCAAAACTGTAATATTGGAGTTTTTTCTTTGTATTTGGCTTGTATTTTTGTCTGAATCTGTCATGACAGTGTGTGATTACATTGTCTGCTGCATGTTTCATTGCGATGAATGGTCTTCCAGTTAGTACTTTTTTTATTTTCAGTGAAATTTTCTTGACTTTTGCCTTTGGAGTTACTCAAGCAGTTTTTAAAGACTAGTTGTCATCTTGTTACATTCTTGTCATTCGAGTACAAAGTAGAGTGCTGTCTGCTGCATGTTTCATTGCGATGAATGGTCTTCCAGTTAGTACTTTTTTTTATTTTCAGTGAAATTTTCTTGACTTTTGCCTTTGACCGATGTGAGTTACTCAAGCAGTTTTTAAAGACTAGTTGTCATCTTGTTACATTCTTGTCATTCGAGTACAAAGTAGAGTGCACAAGTAACGACTGCATTGAGGTACTTAAGGTATTGTTGCTGCTTTTAAGAAGATTGTTCTCATTAGAATGTTATATACACAACATTCCCAATCATAGTTATTAATGTTGTGCACTGCTGTTTGAGCTGCGTGCGCTGAGCTAAAGACGATCACCGGTAAACTGAAGCGCTCTTTTAACTTAACCAAACGCATTCTATATGAGATAAATCAGATATACATCAAATAAACACAATATATATATAATCGAATAAATAGGCCTATATGAGAAATATATTTTTGCTTAAATAATAAATTAATAAAGTGAAAGAAAAACTGTGCAACAAGTAGCCTAGTATTTTTGTGCTGCGCAAAAAGAAACAGACGGCAGAAAGTGGCATTTTTCTTTAGGCTTATTTTACAAAAGCACAAAGATTTGTTTTTATTGTGAATGTACACAAAGCAAATAAAGGCAAACCTTTTACTATTCCGATTATCTTTATGACTAAAAGGAGTAGCCTAGTTTCTTCCACCGTTAGAAGGAAAAAAGTGATTGCGCCGGCGCCGCATGCGCACACACAGTTAAGCATTTCAATGCAGCCTGTTCATTATCATAATAAAATACAGTCAGTCAAACTTATGGAAAAAAAACTATGTAGTAAAATCTGTGCCGTTAAGTGTTATCACAGTACCGCCGTGATGTTATGCAAAACATTTTGTTTTACGTGGATATTGGAACACGAGTGAAGTACATAATAAATAATAATTTGCCATTCAAATACATCGCGAATACGGAAACATTTGATTTTGTGTCAAATGAGAGACCCAACGTTGGGTTCAGTTTCGTTTTAGCCTAAATTAGCCTAATTCGTTATGGCTTGTCGTTTGTATTGCTATAGCTTCTTATATTTTTAATTCTTGTTGTTTTCTAAATACTGTTAATTGAAAGGATTTGTTGTGGAGTGACGGGAACTAAAATAGCCTAGCTATGTTTACAGTGTTTACTATAATGTTTGTAAACATTTCGCATCGGCATTTCTGAATGAAATAAAAAATGCGACATGTTTTTTCCCCCCTAAAAAACTATTTTTTAAATACGCATAGCGTATTTTAACCATGCAGCAAACCTTTTTAAATATTTTTATAAATTACTGAAAAAATTAATAATTAAATTACTTTTTAAACCGTTTAACTGATTGTATTAATCGGTCAAAATTCTTTTGGTCGGTTAACCGGTTAAACGTTAAAATGGAAAAAAAAAATTCTTCTGTGGAACACAAAATAAGATATTTTAAATAATGTTGGTATATTTCAGGGATTGACTTCCATTATATTTTTAACAGTACATTAGAGTTAAATGGG